ATTAAATCTCTTTTAACGTTGAAGAGAAAAATTATGCCACAAAGGCCCTAGCACATATCTTCACTGCTATTGGCCCGATTCAAAAGGGAAAAACAGCATTACGTAGAGAACGTGGTATAGTATAAAGTAGAAGAGAAAAATCATGCGCAGAACAAAAAGCCACAAGGGCCTTAGCGTGTATCTTCACTGCTATTGGTCCGATTTAAATGGGAAAAACGGCATTATAAATAGAACGATTAACGTAGAAGAGAAAAATCTTGTGCAATGTCAAAAGGTCCTTAGCACGTATATTCACTGCTATTGGTCCGATTCAAACGGGAAAAACGGAATTACGTAGAGAGTAAGATTAACGTCGAATAGAATTTTTACTCAGAACTAAAAGCCAGAAGGGCCTTAGCGTATATCTCAGTTACTGTTGGTCCGATTCAAACGAGAAAACGGCATTATGAAGATAACTCAGTATTGATTAATGTCGAACAGAAAAATCATGCGTAGAATGAAAAGCCACAAGGGTCTTAGCATGTTTCTCGGACATAACTGGTCCAATTCAAACGGGAAAAACGGCATTATGTAGAGAACGTGGTATAGATTAACGTCGAACAGAAAAAGTATTCGCAGTGACAGGTCAAAAGGGCCTAAAACTAATAACTTTGTTATTATTGGTCAGATTCAAACGAGAGAAAGGGTATTATGAAGAGAACAATTAACGTCAAACAGAAAAATCATGCGCAGAACGAAAAAGCCAGAATGGCCTTAGCATGTATCACGTGGTCCGATTCAAACAGGAAAAATGGCATTATGTATAGAACGATTAACGTTGAAGAGAAAAAACATGCCAGAAGGGCCTAAAACTTATATCTTTATTTCTATTGGTCCGATTCGAATGGGGCAAACGGCATTCGGCGTGAACTGTCATCCAGCTGTCAGTTCTAACGAAAGAATTGCCATCAAAGACACAGGGGCATTAACGGATCGTTGTTGTTGATGTTTACCTTGAACTGTTATCTAGCTGAAATTATCATATCATTACTACCGGTATCCCACCATCTTTCATATTTTCGATTCTCATGATTTTTGAAAGGGAAATGACACGTGTCATACTTATAATGAATTTGCCAATCGTTATGTCTTATTTACACTTTTTGAATTAATGTCTACGATTTCTTTAATTTTTGAGTATGACCACCCCTGAAGTAGCCCCTTTCTAACAAAAAAAGAATTATTGAAATCGGACACCGTGTTAAAGAATTATCGCTGAACATACATAAAAAAAAATATCGCGACGAATTGATAACCTCCTCCTTTTTTGAAGTCGGTTGATAAAAAGTAGTAAAAGGGTTACTGTTTCTACATTTATTAGATATATAATATTTAATCAGGTAGGAAAAATGCCATTTTAAGCTGTGAAAAGTTCCAATAGTCAACCTTATTTAAAAATTTAAAAAAGTACATTCAACAGGATTATTAAAAAAAATCTTCAATAAAAAACAGAACTAAAATTATGGCACTTCATCTACAAAATAGGTTGGGAACTGAAAAAGAAAGTACTTATAGTAAACTCTATTAGAAAGGCTCAAACTTTTGCATGAAGATTATAGTTTCGTTCGCGGTAATGATCCTGAACTGATTCTGAACGACTAAGATAAAAATTACACTGCATATTATAACTAAATTTGTATTGTTTAAATGTTTATTTAGGCATGTATGCTATAGTGTAGCGTTCAGAATACGTTTGGAGTCAGCTCCGTAAAGAAACTATATACCTTATTGATACTTGGTTTAATGGCGATGGAGACCACATCTAGATGGCACCACTCCCCTGGTCTCCAACTCAGGTGGTTAGGTTATGTCGGTACTTGAGTGTTATTTATAAATCAAAACCTTTTTCTTTTCATTTCTACCACTTTTTAATAATGTTACAGGTTAAAGGGTATTACAAGGTGACTTGGGCCCGTATTTATAAACATATCTCAGCCAAGTCCTACTCAGCTTATTCGTCCTTAGATTATTTTTTCTCGTTTCATCGATTAATTTCTTTGATTATTTATTAGAAATTATGGGTACCACTTGTCTTTTTTTTTAGCATTGATCGTGGCTGTGAGATCGGATACTTCTTGTTTAAGCGATATAATTAATTTTAATTCAACTATTGATCCCCTAAAATATTCTTAAACACAAACTTTTTTTGGACTTAATGCTCCTAATTTCCGACGATGATAAATCCACAGAAACGTAATAATAATTATTTATACATATCACGCAAGAAATTAATGTTCTTCAATGACTTTATTAAAACAAATGCAGTTGAACGAAGATATATTGACGGTAGGAAATATTTGTTGTAAATCTGGCAACTATGTACACAAGAAACAACATTAATCTGTCTAGGCATGAAATATTTAAGTTTAAGAGCAAACCAAACACCTTGAAAATTTATAATTAAATCTGAGCCTTTATTTTTAGTCCGTTTTCTGTGAAATTTTGCAGGAAATACAAGCATTAAAAAAAAATAGGGCGGAAAAACCTTGAATTTTTTGTAAATCCTCGAAAAGAGTTTATTTTAAACATTTTTAAAAAACTTTTCTACGCCATTCTGTATTAAATCTATAAAAATTTACTGCTTTTTGTTTTAATTAATATCTAGTAGTTTTCAAATGGAATGCTTTCCCACCTTTTTATCTTATGTCTCTGTAGAGTGCTACCTTATCGTTGCACAAATTTAAAGCTCTCAATATTGTCAAGACACATAATATCACGAAGTATTCCCAGTGGTACGCACATTAATTCAATTTTATATTAGAAAATCCTTAAAACATTTTTGCTTTCGCGAGAGGTCCGGTTTCCTTTCGAGAAAAAAACTCCACACACCAGATCAGCATCAAAAATTCGTGTTTTTTTTTTTAAACGAATCTGACTATAATTTAACACATATGGAATGTTTTTAGATTTTATAAATCTTGAATTATATCAAACTAATTGCACTTTGAATGCACGCGAAAAAGCACAGTTTATGCCGCGTTGCCACGTAACGTAACGTATAAAAGGCACGTAGGCAATCGCTTGACCGACAAGATAAATTAAACGCACGAGCTAGGACACTGATATAATGGATTATTATTATACCAGATAGTTTCTTAACTACCAGTAAAAAACTAAAATTTAATTAAGAAAATATGAACCAACTTTCTTTTGGCACTCCCAAATAAAATTACATTGGTTCGCAATAATTCCAGTGTATACTTTTAAACATATTTTCCTAGTAAGAAGTAGTTTCATTTTTAACGCTCCAGAAAAAAATAAAAGCGTTTGTTTCTAATATAACTATTTATTTATTGATAAATTAAACAAGTCAGTGCAAGTCAGTCTTCCTACTAATTCCGTATATCTGGGTATGTGTGTGTGTGTGTGTGTGTGTGTGTGTGTGTGTGTGTGTGTGTGTGTGTGTGTGTGTGTGTGTGTGTGTGTGTGTGTGTGTGTGTGTGTGTGTGTGTGTGTGTGTGTGTGTGTGTGTGTGTGTGTGTGTGTGTGTGTGTGTGTGTGTGTGTGTGTGTGTGTGTGTGTGTGTGTGTGTGTGTGTGTGTGTGTGTGTGTGTGTGTGTGTGTGTGTGTGTGTGTGTGTGTGTGTGTGTGTGTGTGTGTGTGTGTGTGTGTGTGTGTGTGTGTGTGTGTGTGTGTGTGTGTGTGTGTGTGTGTGTGTGTGTGTGTGTGTGTGTGTGTGTGTGTGTGTGTGTGTGTGTGTGTGTGTGTGTGTGTGTGTGTGTGTGTGTGTGTGTGTGTGTGTGTGTGTGTGTGTGTGTGTGTGTGTGTGTGTGTGTGTGTGTGTGTGTGTGTGTGTGTGTGTGTGTGTGTGTGTGTGTGTGTGTGTGTGTGTGTGTGTGTGTGTGTGTGTGTGTGTGTGTGTGTGTGTGTGTGTGTGTGTGTGTGTGTGTGTGTGTGTGTGTGTGTGTGTGTGTGTGTGTGTGTGTGTGTGTGTGTGTGTGTGTGTGTGTGTGTGTGTGTGTGTGTGTGTGTGTGTGTGTGTGTGTGTGTGTGTGTGTGTGTGTGTGTGTGTGTGTGTGTGTGTGTGTGTGTGTGTGTGTGTGTGTGTGTGTGTGTGTGTGTGTGTGTGTGTGTGTGTGTGTGTGTGTGTGTGTGTGTGTGTGTGTGTGTGTGTGTGTGTGTGTGTGTGTGTGTGTGTGTGTGTGTGTGTGTGTGTGTGTGTGTGTGTGTGTGTGTGTGTGTGTGTGTGTGTGTGTGTGTGTGTGTGTGTGTGTGTGTGTGTGTGTGTGTGTGTGTGTGTGTGTGTGTGTGTGTGTGTGTGTGTGTGTGTGTGTGTGTGTGTGTGTGTGTGTGTGTGTGTGTGTGTGTGTGTGTGTGTGTGTGTGTGTGTGTGTGTGTGTGTGTGTGTGTGTGTGTGTGTGTGTGTGTGTGTGTGTGTGTGTGTGTGTGTGTGTGTGTGTGTGTGTGTGTGTGTGTGTGTGTGTGTGTGTGTGTGTGTGTGTGTGTGTGTGTGTGTGTGTGTGTGTGTGTGTGTGTGTGTGTGTGTGTGTGTGTGTGTGTGTGTGTGTGTGTGTGTGTGTGTGTGTGTGTGTGTGTGTGTGTGTGTGTGTGTGTGTGTGTGTGTGTGTGTGTGTGTGTGTGTGTGTGTGTGTGTGTGTGTGTGTGTGTGTGTGTGTGTGTGTGTGTGTGTGTGTGTGATGTGATTCTCTTTAATTTTTGTCCCAATATTTCTCTAAAATGGACTGTAATGGAGAAATTTAAGAAAAAAATAAAAATTTGAATTTTTCAGTATTTTCGTTGACAATGATATGCAAAAATGTTTTAATTATTGATTATTTTTATTTTATATTCCAAAAACACTTTTTGATTAGGAGGACCGTACTCAATATATTTGAACTTTACAGAAAAATCCAACACATAACTTTCCACATCTTATTTTTGAAGTTTAGTTGAAACATATGTATTAGTTGTTATAGAAAAAGACATTACATAAAAAACTTATTATTTTTATTTGATTTTAGGTTTGTTTAGAGCAGCCATTATGCAAAGTGGCTCTCCTTTGACATGCTGGGCTTTACATAAAAATGCCAGACATGTGGCTCAGGCTTTAGGTAAGTTCCTTTTTAAAAATATAATATTTTAATTGTAGAAAAAGTGTAACTTGGAAATTAACCGTTTTTTTATTGTTGATTAATTTTAGGCAATGCTTTATCACCTACTAATCAGAAAAATTTGACATCGCAGGAAATTTTACATTTAGTTAAAACAGCAGATATAGAGCAATTAAAACAAGAAACTTTTAAACTTCAGGTAACTAGTTTTTTTATCATCTTAGTTATATGCTACAATATTCGATGTCTTCTATACAAGCTAAATGGGTGCGGATTTTAATATTATTTCGGACACAGTCATATATATTTTTTTTTATTGAAATTAGCGTGTCTGCATCAGTTGCCATTGACACAGCATATAGATTTCAATTGATCAATTACTAAAATTAACGGGAATATGTATCGTATTCCAGAAACTCGTGATGTAATAAAGTTATGGATTTTAAATGATTTTAAATCTATTTTATTTTTGAAATCTTCATATTAAAGAGATTATGGAACCTTTTTTTATAAAAACTAAATATTTTCAAACATTTTAAAAACTTAGTTTTTTGCTAATGTATTTTGTTATCACACACATTCCATCTTTGTTGTCTTCGTTATTACAGGTTTTTGATATTGCATACAACAACAAATAATTGTGTTTCTGTGCAAGAGATTGAGCAGTTTTAAAACTCATCAAGAGTGTATAAATGAATCGTTTATTTTGAAAAGGGAACATGTCCAATTTTTGGGTATTTCGCCATTTTGACGAAAAAGCTATTTTTAAATGTAAATACATCAATTTACGCGAGAAAGGAATATATCCGGTTATTACTATATTGGCAGTCATGACGTTTCTCCTACGTTTGGTTCGAAAAGGTAATATATCCTGGATGTGTTACTTTTTCGAAACAAACGAAACATCCGTGGTGCCAGTGTTCTCATGCGCATGAATCGCATTGTGTCATATGTTATTAGCGGATGTAAACTGTTGTTTTTGTTCTTATTTTATGACGATGTCTGAGACCGATAGATGTTATGAAATGTTCTTCAATCAAGAAAAGCAAGAATTGTTAGCTACTGTCAATAGTTTTAACGACAAAAGTACACAGGATGTCTATATTCAAAGTCTGATCGAAGTCCGCAATGCTCAAGATATTAGAAAACGAGGTGAAGAACCCATACTTTTAAGTATCACAAAAATCTGAACGGAAAAAGAACCACTGTCTGTAAACAAGCTTTTATGGGACTACATGGAGTAACTCATAAAAGAGTATAGCATTTACGTACCTTGCAAGCTCAAGGAGCAACTCCTCAAGAGAAAAGAGGTAAGTCGGAAGGATCAAGACCTAATGCAATACCTGGCGAAGTTTGCGCCACAATACATTATTTTATAGATAGGTTCGATGTAAAAGAAATACACTAGGTATTCGAACAACATAGTTAAAAAATATCTTCATGCCACTCTTATCATCAAAATGATGCATAAATTGTTTATGGAAAAATTTCCGAAACTTAAAAAGTCATATTTTATTTTGGTTTTATCAATTTTTTAATCAAAATTTCGATTTATCGTTTGGTAGACCTCAAATAGATGTTTGCTCAAAATGTGAGGAACTGAAAGTTAAAATTACGGACCCACATTTAAATGATAATGCAAAACTGGTAGCAACAGCTGAGTTGATAATACACAAAAGGAGAGCTAATTTTTAAGAAAGCTGAAGTAACAAGAAAAATGGCCACTGAGAAAAATACCATTTTGGGGATATCTATAAATCATATGCCAAACTTACCTCTCCCACATATACCTGAATAAAAAAAAAGGACCGTATTGACTCGCGACTAGTCTCAATCAGACGTGGCCAAAATTGAATTAAAATAAAATGTATGTTTCGGTCGCAGAGAAAAAAAATTAACTTGGCTATTTACTCGGTAATTAACTGTGTAACTATGGTATCGGGAATTAAACTAAAATATTGGTGTTCTACTAAACGATCAAAGAGAGTGCGAGGAGACAGGGACACGAAAGAATTACTTATAGTAAATATACAGAAAAAAGATAACAATAAATTTATACCCGGGGTAGCCTATTGTCCCAGAATGAGCTGATCGTCATCACGAGCCCGCTCAGACAGGGTAATGAAGCTATTTTTGATTTCTGCAAGTTGCAGTTTGCACGAAAAAACATGAAAAATATAAAGGGGAAAAGAAAACTAACGCGGATAGCACCTAGTCAAAGAATGAACTGATCGTCATCACAAGCCCGTTCAGACAGGGACAGGATACTATTTAAAGTTATTTAAATTGACGGTAAAAGAGAAAAATATACTATTATCGGAGGGAAGAAAATTACTAACGCGGATAGTACTTGTTCCAAGAGTGAACTGATCGTCATCACGAGCCCGTTCAAACAAGACAGGATACTATTTAAGATTATTTAAATTTGCGGTCTACAGATTAATTAAAAAAAAATTATAACGCGGATAGCACCTTTTCCAAGAGTGTGAACTGATCGTCATCACGAGCCCGTTCAGACAAGGACAGGATGCTATTTAAGATTATTCAAATATACGGTAAAGGAATAAACAAACTATTAAAAGAGGGAAAACGTCTCCTAGAAAAGTCCGTTTACAAATATTTCCAACTTAATTACAACGCGGCACTTACTAAACAAAAGTATTTATCAATAAAATAAAATTTAATTCCCGATTTAACCTACCAAAAAGAAAACAGAATACAGACTAATGATCAAAAGTCTAAAATCCCCGGTTTTAATATTTAATATTTAACTCAAATTCTATTCCTTTTTAAAGAAACGGTATTATATTTGCCAAGAATAAATTCTAGTATTTATTAATGACTCCAAATTAAAGTCTATAAAAAAAAAAGTATTATTCCTGCCAAGAAACAAATTCTAATCTTTATTAATGAAGTCAAATTTAAAATCTTTTAACTCAACAGTAGTTATAAAAAAAGCGGTGTGATTTATTAAGAAACAAATTCTATTATTTATTAAGGAAATCAAATTAAATCTTTTAACTAAACACTGAATGAAAATGTTTCTATTCCTAAAGCTAATTCGGTTTTTAAACTGAAATACGGTCTCAATATAAAACGTAAAAAGCAGAACAAGGTTTTTTACCTAACGGATTTATAAACACGAGAAAGAAATTAACGACGGTGAATTGATTAGAGAATGCGGCTTATTAGTCTCGACTGCTGGCAAATAAATCTTATATCGAACTAATCATTTCAATAGCATGTCGGGTCTCGTTCAACAACTGTAGATTCCCTTTCCCATTAGAAACCCCACCTACGCGCAGGCCCACCGCGCAGCAAGATCTCGAGCGGCGTTCGCGCATGTAAATTGACTCAGGCCCAATAGTTCAACCGCGTTTAAAATTTATTAAAAATGAAAAATAAAAATAAACTGATTAAGGAAAATTGACTTCATTACACCAGGAAGAAAGAAGAGGAGGAAAAGGAAAGGCGTGGGAAGAAAGAAGAGGAGGAAAAGGAAAAGCGTAGGAAGGAAGAAAAGGAGGAAAAGGGAAGGCGAGAGGAGGAAAAGGAAAGGCGTAGGAAGAAAAAAGAGGAGGGGGAAAAAGAAAGGCGTAGAAAAGCTGAGGTAGAAATTATGAATGATTTGCTACAAATCCAGGAAACCTTTAAGCAAGAGGTTAGTCAGCTTAAAATTAGAGTAGATCTGTTAGAGCAACAACAAGAGCATCTAAAAGCGAAATTAGAGAAACAGCAAGAGAATTTGAAAGCTAACTTAGTACAAGAAGAACAGGCTAAAGTAGAGCTGGAAAGGCAAATTAGAGCTGAAATGGCTGAGCTATAAAAAAAATTCACAGCCAAGCTTCAGTAAACAACATTGAAGCATCAAACACTACTACCTCGTCTTCATCCATAACCGAACCAAGCCACATTCAAATCCCAGTTTCACAAAACTATACTAGCAAGATCCTTAACGTTTGACGGTCAGACAACATGGGAATCATATCGACTTCAATTTGAAGCTGCAGCTAGAGCCAATGGCTGGACCAAGAAACAGATGGCGGCTTCATTGATAGTATCACTACGAGGTCAGGCAGCAACCGTTTTACAATTACTTTCCCAAGAAAAACCCAGTTATTCATCTCTCGTCCAAGCTTTGGAGACAAGATATGGCCAGCAGCATTTTTAACGGGTATTCCAAAGCTAGCTAAAGGTTCGTAGTCAGAAACATAATGAGAGTCTACAGAAATTCGAGGCTGATATAAGAAGGTTGATTCATCTGGCCTATCCACAGGTGCCGAAAGATTTCCAAGAACAACTCAGAATACAAGCATTTATTGATGGACTACAAGATGTGGAAATGCAGCAAGTCCTTCGTCTACAACATCATAAGACGCTGAGGGAGAAACTGATTGCATTTCAGGAATATGAAGCGGTAAAACTCCTATCCAGATATTCTCGCGCAAAAGTGAGGGAAATTAAATCCCAGGAAAGTGACGAGGCCAGTACTAATGCTATTCCCCAAATCCTAAATATCCTACGAAATATACAACGAAACAGCCAAAATGGAAGCAGGAGATGCTTCAATTGCGGAAGAGTCTTACACCTTCAAAGAATCCGTAGAAGCATGGCCCATTCTATAAATCGGGAATCAGCAAATGAGACCAGAAAATCATATAGATCAATTTTTCCGAGCCCATCACTAAGACCAACAAGAATTAATTATAGCAGCTATGCGTCCAGAAGAAGCCAATTACCCACACCAAGCCGGCTTTCTAGCAATAATCAGAAAGTAGAGCATCGAGGAGGTCTCCATAGCAATGCAGACATTCTCTTCGGGAAACCCCGTTTAGAGGAACAATGCTGGTATGGTAAAAGGCTAGAAGAACGAGAAGAACCGGTTGATAAAGTTACTCTTCGGGCCACCACTATCAAGCCGGAGGGCGACGAAGAAGAAATCACCCTTGAAAGTCTGAGACAGGGACAGAAGAAAGACAAGGACTTAAAGGTTGTCCGAGAATGGCTCAAAAATAAAGTCACACCTACTTGGCAAGAGATAGCCAAGTACAGTAGAACTATAAAAGGCTACTGGACCCAGTGGAATTCCCTGTATCTTCACGATGGCCTATTGCACCGGAAGTGGGAGAGCCCCGATGGAGTACATGTAGTCCGCCAAGTGATACTGCCTAGGTCACAGGTGAGAAAAGTATTGAAGGA